GATATAAAAAAGTAAAAAAAAAAGGGTGATAGGCACTTTAACCATCGCCTGATATTGCTTAACCATCGCCTGCTCTTACAATAACCATTGCCTGCTCTTGCTTAACCATCGCCTGCTCTTGCTTAACCATCGCCTGCTCTTGCTTTGCATCGCCTGCTCTTGCTTAACCATCGCCTGATATTTCTTAACCATCGCCTGCTCTTGCTTAACCATCGCCTGATCTTGCTTAACCAACGCCTGATATTTCTTAACCATCGCCTGCTCTTGCTTAATTTGTTGTCGTCTCTTTCTTCACCAGCTTCGTAACAACAGCGGTGGGTGGGATCATGCTACTGGTGGCAACACTTTCCCTTCTTTTATGCTGTATATTTTCTACTGTGTCACCAACCGTGTTTTATGTCGATAGCCAAAATGGTGACGACCGCAACGAAGGTACATCAGTAGATGACGCCTTCTCGACCATCAAAAAATGCGTAGACACAATCGTGGCTCCTGGAGACGAGTGTCGTGTTCGACGTGGACGATACCATGAAAACCTCACCATCACAGGGAAACACGGTACATCAGAAAACCCCATCATCATCGCTGGGTATCAAGATGAACGTCCTATCATCGATGGTACGATGCTGCTGAAGCCTACATGGACCAAACACAAGGGGCGTATCTTCAAAGCTGTGATTGACAACGACATTTGGCAATTGTTTATCAATGACGTCATGATGACTAATGCGCGTTGGCCCAATGCATTATGGTCAGACTTTACAGTTTTTAGCAACTCGTACTGGGCTAAGTCTGCACTCAATTCCACCCGAGATATAATGGTTGATGATGGTGAGAAGAACTTGGCAGGCAGTGGTATCAACGCTACTGGAGCCATGGCTATCTTGAACATTGGAAGTTTTAACACATTCGTGGCCAAAGTACAGAGTCATGTACCGGGACACAACTCTTTTACGTATCACAACACCTTTGGAGATCATCACTTCAAACCCAAGTTGAACCAGTATTTCCTGGAAGACAAGTTAGAGTTACTGGACCAGCCTGGTGAATGGTATTACGACAAACGAACCAAAACCTTGTACGTGTGGAACTATGATGGAAGGAAGCCTAGAAGAAAAGTCGTACGAGGAAAAAACCAAATCTATGCCTTCCAGATATCAGACTGTCATAACATGATCCTTGCCAATATGACTTTCTTTGCAACAACATACAAAGCACAAGTCATCTCCAAAACTAATTACATTGATCAACTTGAATTCCAATCGATTAACTTCAGTTATCCGTCCTACTCCAGGCGAATGCTGGGTGTAACAGATCCGCCCCAATGGACGCAGATTCTTGGCAGAAAAGGAAAAGTCATGAAAACATTTAAGATGTTCAACTGTACGTTTTACGGAACAGACGGCGCCGCCCTCCAATACACCGGTATCAACGTCACCCTGCAAAACAATCTCTTTGAAAGGAACGATTGGTCTGGTGCAATGATGAAAACTGCAATGGGAGGACTGGGAACGATCGTGTCCAAAAGCATCGGTGACAGGTTCATCAGAAACACAGTGCGATATAACGGTGCTAGTGCGGGATACAGGATCGCCGCTCCAAACTCTCTTGTACTTCTGAATCACTTCCACCATCAGTGCTGGGGTAAAATACAGAATGATGGTAGCCATGTTCAGGTACAGGTGCATGGTCAAACAGGTGCGGTTCTCAAACAAAACTGGATTCATGACAGTCCTAAATATGCACTGCGTTTTGATGGTCAACCACCAAGAATCGGGGAACATGGTAGCATGTTGCAGAACGTTGCATGGAACATTAGTGCATTGATGATCAAAGGGGATTATCAGAAAGTGTACAACAATTTAGCTTTCGACAAGTACGTTGACAAGGTACGTACAGTTTTGACTTTTGTTTTGTACTCCAAATTGAGCTGCTTTGACGTTACGTGCAAGGGATCTATTACGCGGTTTGAATATTCTAATAGATGTTGCTATGTTTAATTTAGGGAGGAGATCGCCAAGGCAACGGTTGTGTACTCTGCGTGCTGAGATATGTACGTTCTAATCCTGTGGCTATCAACAATGAAACTGTTGTCATGTATAACGCGGCAACTACTGCAAACGGAGGAAAACACAAGAGGAAGAAGTACCCCTTGGCTGGTCGAGTGGTTAAAGATAACATCATTGGCAAGGTACGTGGGCAACTCATGGATGCAGACAATTGGGACTTCCGTCCCAGCGTAAACTCCAAGTACATCCCTAAGAATGTAGGCCCTTACAAGTTTGATCCAAGCTCGACCATTTATTGGATACCAGGCAGACAGTCGTACAAAACCAGCACACCAGTACCCCTCGACTCCAGTACCACAGTCAAACCAAACCGGAATGCTTTGATGTGGCTAAATGCACTTGGTGCTCGGTCCCACCACGTTTACTTTGGCCAAAACCTGACCAAGGTTACGAAAGCCTCAGTGAAAGATCCTGAATACAAAGCGACGATCCAAGATGACGCTAATGTTTACTTTCTGAAGGAGAAACTGAAAGCTGAGAGTAAGTATTACTGGAGAGTGGATGCAGAGATCTCTGAACAAGAGATCTATAGGGGTGATGTTTGGTCATTCACAACTAGAGGATGACCATACGCAGGCGAGGGAAACTCCTGTATTGAAAAACACAAAGCAATAAATATTTATTAAAGACTGTTAGTGATTTGTCGTCTTTAGTGGTCAGTTTTTCTTTTCAGATTCTTGATTTTGTTTGCTATTGCTATACTCCCATTTCCAGTTCGTCTTTGCTCAGTCTTAGCCTCGATTGTGTACAAATGTGTTCTTTTTTTTCATTAAGGTCCATTGTATAGTAAGGAATGTACGTACTACAATACGTGTTGATTAAAATGCCACGGGGTTTGGATGAATGGTTAAATATTTTARCGTACAACTGAGGCTGAGCAAAGAGAACTCGAAACTGAAGTATTTGTAGTATATTTGCTATATACCACAGCCAACAACCAATAATGTGAAGGTCGGAATCACGTCAGCTATAAACGAGTCATGTCACGTGTTAACTAAAGTTGTACTAGATTTGAGTACAATATACTTATCAGTTATCCCTTTTATCAATCACGTGTCCCTCACCATTAATACCTTATTCTCCCCCCTCTCCCCCCCCCCCACTCCTGACAGGGAAGGTGTGTTGACAATCATCTCATCAGGGCAATATACTGTTACAACGTGGATGGAATGTACCTTGAGCGGAATTACCTGAGACAAAACAAGAATGCTCCTCAAGTAGATTTAACAACCTTTAATACCGCGTCATGATAAAATTCAATAATAAATAATACATTAATAATTGATTCTTAATTAAAAAGGCTTTATAAGYCCAATAAATAAACGTTAAATATCCCTAGCACCAAACCAGGCCATCCAGGGCCAAGTAATGCATATCTTCTATTGAATAAATTTCATTGTCTAATTCCCTTACATTGCAGCAAGTCTAGATATCCATTAAACCTCTTAGAATACTGTAAATTTTGATTTTTAAAATTTAATCTATTAGTGCGAATAATGAAAAGCTCAAATAATTGAACGATTTTTGCAGTGCACCAAATAAAGTATTAAATATTCTTATTTGTTTGTAATATATTTGTACCATTAAAAATCCGGATAGGAAAGTGTTGTAAATAATGAAATCCAGTCGTCCATGAAAGTGAAGTAAAAACATAATAACGACAATTCGTATAAAGAAAAAAAGAAAAAAGAAAAAAATATAACAAACATGAACACACTATAAGAAAATGGAACACTTTCCCATTGAAAACCTTTTTTAGATGAAGTAAACCTCATTGGTTARTGTATTTGATTCTATCGTTCTATATTGTACCGCCCCATGTCATATTCAACCCATATGCGGTTTTACTGGTTATGTTACGTGATGTTACATGAGTTACGTCAGTCACAGAGGAAGAACCACGTGTTACTTTCATCATCCATGAGTGATCATCATCATCATCATCATCATCATGTTAGGTCGTCAAGCATGCATTATTGACTCACCATACCTCAGGCACTACAATAACACGTCAAAAMAAAAAMAMAAAAAAAAACATTAAATCAAAATATAAACAGAACGAAAACACAAAAAAATATAAAATATACAAAAAGTACAAAATAAATCAACAAATGTTACACCACAATAAGTAAGCTTGATTGCTGTCATTCACGGCACACGCACACACACACCCTTTCACGTGAATCAAGTATTTCTATCATTCAATCTTACATCCTATGGATATGGCTTAAAAAGTTCAATCAAGTGCAAAGTGCGTTTCTTTTGCTAGAATTAAACGGTAACTACACCCCTTATTTAGAACCAACGATCGAGTGAGCGATCACTCAATTAATGTGTGTTTTATCGCGCATGAACTAATCATGACTCTAGGGCATACTGTCTTCTTCCAATTCCTCACCACTTTCACCGCCAGATCCGCCTCCAAGGCTGTGGTGATCAGCCAAAGCTTGTTTGGCAAGGTAGGCTTCTCGTTTGATAATAATCTCCAATGCTTGAGGAACATCAGGTACCATCATGTCGATCAAACGCATCACAAAGAACACGAAGTGCTGTTGACCAACGATATTCCAATGCATTAACAATAAAACACAAATATGAAAACACGATTTACATGTAGTCTCGATTATTACCTCGAAGAGAATGACAAATCCGAGCCGCAGAGCAAGAAGATGCCAATAGAATTTAGTAAAGTGGCCTTCAGGGTCTCTGTATTCCTGATACCTAAATAAGCAATAACATTCATGTCATACTGGAAAACACGACATGGATACCAAGGTGAAATGGTTACTATGGATACATCAGTTACCTGCAAGGCTCGTGTGTAGTGTTTGCAGGAGACCATGCCAGAGAGTAGTTGGTAAAACCTCTTAACGAACCGTCCTCAGATACCGTGTACCGATACAGCATCTTTGGTAAGAACGTTGATGTGAATGCTATCAAGAAAGCCTGCAACAAACAAGTATTTAATCATTAACCTACATGCCTGCTTGTCACTTTTACCTGAAGTTGAATGGGTTGCCTAGCCTACTGAAGCACTTACATTGCTTATCACAGCTATTTTCGCCACACTGTCCAAGATATCAAACCAAATACCAAGATCCTGTGCTCGGTCTGCAATCGGGCGCCGAACTTCACATACGAACTTGTCCGAGTCGATACGGATTTCAAAGATGTTGTTAGCCAAAGCAAAGAATGGAGCCAAGGGGAAAGCAGCGACAAAAATGGTAATGAAACCAAACTGTAAAACTGTAGTAAGAGAATGACAGTATATGTAAGATGTGAGATAGAGTGATGCATTAGAATACCTCCACTGGACTCACCCATTTCAAGATATTCTTGGAACAATCCCTCATTTTCCACCAATTCATAGTCCAGTTCCCATCGTGGTTTGATCTCTCCTTTCGTTGTTCCTCGTTTTTTCCTCTTGAGGTAACCCTTGATCATGCTGTAGAACATGGTGCAAACATGCAGGTAAGATAACCCATTCACACAAAAACAAGCTTTGCTTGTGTTACTTACGGAATAGCAATTTCTTGCACGTTGTTGATCATCTGTTTGCCGACCATGATGATGACGAGTTGCTGTGCTAACTCCATTAAACATCCACCTGGACTGCACTGTAAATGGAATAACATACTTTAATGGTCTATTTCAAATCCAGCGCTCTGATTGGCTGTGCTCAGTAGTGATCTATTAGTGTTAGAGCACTAGTACCGGAAAGTGACGGGTTTCAACCTAATTTCAATGTTTTGTATCCATGTATTTGACCGATGACTGAGTAGGTTTAGACTTTGGCCTTATGTGCTTTTGACTCGTAGACCATGAGGGTGAGAGGTCTAATTAGCAGTCTTACTAACCTCCTCTTGACGAAGACCAAACAGACGTCTGTAATGCCCAGGATATCCTACAAGCCTGGAAAATATGACAACCGACATTTACTCTCAGAAAAACTACATGTATATGATACTGAAGCTTATGAAGAAAAACACCATACAACATAATAATTCAAAACTAAATTAATAAAACGAACGAAGAATTAGTACTTGGTTTCTGTACTTACTTTCCCTTGAAGAAAGCAATGTAGAAAATAGAAGAGTAAAAGTTGACGAACTGGAAGACAAACACCTTGAAAGTCAAGTTATCCTCATATTCTGTCTGTGTTCGATGCATTTCTAATAAAATAAATCATTAGGTATTTCAATGTATTTGAAAAAACTGAATGGCTAAAAGTGCTATCGCTTTACTCACCCCAGTGTGTCAAAGCCAAAGCAACCCTTTCATACACCTGAAAGACATACGTTAGTACATCAGTATTGAGTCAGGACCGTAGCACTGTTGCCAGCAATACTGCGTTTACTGGATCACAAATCTACAACTGTTGGGTCAACAAGTTTCATAGCGTGAACATAACCGGCATTGCTGGCAATGTTGTATTTTGGTGTAACCGCTGTTCACGGTGTGGTAGAGTCGAGACCATCAATGCATAATTTAGTCAACACATCCCACTAAAATCTCTTTGCGCGCAACATTTTCAAGTTCTTGATCAAATGGACAATGAAGTTCAGAAGACCTTTTCTTACCCTACTCAATATCATGATAATGGTCAAGTTAACAAAAGCACCAGTAGAGTTAGCAATCTGCAAGGCATATTTTCTGGTGGACTTGTTTCTTGCTAACGGTCTGTACACTAACAGTTTGTAGACAATAACACCAACCATAAACACCAACACTAGAGAAACCATAGTGATGACAATCGCTATACCCGACAGTAAACGCGGTTTACGTTTTTCATCAGGAAAGTGCGGTTCGAGAATTCCCGTCACTGGGTTTCTTTCTACTGTGGGCGCGAGTGCTGCAAACGTTGGTCGTGGTCGTTCCTATGGAATAAACGTCACAGCCAATCATTACGCATTTCTTCAACTGTAGCTACGTCTGTCACAATCATTCTACGTCAAGTGAATAGTTGAATAGTGAAAGTATTAGTACAGTGTGTCATACGTACCACTTCCTCTTCGTACTCCAGCACATCCCAGTGGTAGGCTAGAGTTATCTCCTTTCTTTTCCAATACTCCAAGAAGAAGCAGGCTGTTCATACAAAACCACATGTTAGTCATAATTCCAAGTAATGTCTGACATAAAATCAAGGAGTTTCTTACCCCAGAAAGAGACAAATATAGCGTAGACCACGGTAGCAGCATTATCAAACATGTAGGCAACCTATCATGGAAACACTCACAATCAATGATGCATTCAAAAAAGTATGACTTTCAAGGGAAGTTTGTTTTATTGTACCTTGCCTGATCCACAACTTATCTTGAGATCCCAATAAGCACAACCAAGAGACTCGTCACACAGAGGACACATCTTGAATGTCCACTCTGGGTTCTCACAAACCTCAAGACTAAAAACAGCTATATTAGTTAATCCGAGAAAATTGCTTTAAATCCTATAGTCTCATCCCCACCAACCCTGCCCCCCTGTCCCCTCCTGTCCTCCTACCCCCATAGGCTAGACTGTGAAAGGAACTTAATACATTCACTGAATATTTTACATGTTGACTTACGCTGGTCTATTGTCTGCACTGCTGACTGTAGCAACTCCATACAGAAATACCAAGAGACCAATGAAGGATGGCATGATGAGCCAAGCTGTGTATTGACCTGTAGATCACACATGTTGTGTATTATAGACTACACACAATATAAGACTACAACAGCAAGGTAAAATGTGAACCAGTATAGCCATGAGAAAAGATAAGACCAACATAGATTTATGGTGCCTTACCCCGGGGGGGGGGGAGGTACTCCCCTATATTTGCTATACGGGTATGTGCCGCCCTATAGGGTATGGTTTTTGGGCTTTTGGGTCTGGGGTAGGGTATCATTTTTTGACATTTTGTCTGGGATAGGGTATCATTTTTGTCTGGGATAGGGTTAAGATTTGGTCGTTTTAGCCTGGGATAGGATTAATAACGATTTGGTCGTTTTTGTCTGGCGAATAGACTACGCTTTCTGACGGCACAAAAACAATGAAAAYGTTAGTAAATATTGATTACAATCTATTGAATATAAGCCGTCTTTTCCGTCTTTTAGTCTGGGATAGGGTGTACAATTCTTAGTTTTAGTCTGGGGTAGGGTATGTAAAATCGAAATCTTAGGTCTGGGATAGGGTCAGGGTTTTAAGGTCCTGGCGGCACACCCCTACCCAAGTTGGGTTAGTAGTACCCCCCGGGTGCCTTACAGTCCGTAACATTGTTCTATATTCATACCTAGCCAAGCAAAGTAGATGCCAATCTTCTCTCCAAAATAGTCACTGGAAAATAGTTTGTTTAGCATAAGATATGGTACTACATGAAATAAAATAAAGAATGGCTGAACAATGTCTTGTGATAATGTTCTTACCGGATGTGATCAAGGGGCTGGTACTTGTACCACTTGCCCCAGCGTGCCCAGTATTCTTTGAGAACCTAAAGAACAGTTCAGTAGTGAGAATATCTCTCATCTCCACACATTACCAATATGGTACTGTAAGTCATTGACCTGCACAGATGAACGAGATTTACCTGTCTTTTGTTCAACTTGATTTCCTCAGGGCCATGGGGGCCTTCATGGAACTCTTTGGGTAATTCTGCTGGACCCTGCATAGACAAACAGACAGACGGACATAAATAGAGTGAGAAGAGGATGATAAAGGTCAATATGAAAAGAATCATGTTACAGTGGAGTAACATACCACATGCAGAGGATAGCCAGCCTTAAAAACACCTTCTTCAACAAGACGTTCAATTCCTACGATATCAAAGATCATTTAGTATTTTGATTTCCTTGATACCACCCATCTTGTAACCTGTTTTTATATTATTCACCTATTTCTCCTCTCTGTCTCTTTCCATACGGTGCTGTCTCCARGATTTCATAAACCTACATAAACAACTCTGTAAGTTTTATGTCTAAAAGAAATATTTATATTTCATACTGTATTATTCCTACTGAAAAATTTAATAAATAATAATAAGCCTTTTCATAGTTTAAGAATCGATTCCACTGCACATGCGATTTTATCCCGAATTTCTCACCTTCTTTTGTCTAAACCTTCTTTTGTTCTTAATTAAACAAAAGAAGGTGAGAAATTCGGGAAAAAATTGCATGCGCAGTGGAATCGATTCTTAAACTATGAAAAGGCTTATTGAATCTTACCACTCTGACTCTTTCGACATCAGTAAAGTAAGTATCTGGATTGTCACTACCAATGAACCTACAAACATTGTTACAGGACTCATTAATCATGTGAATATTTCTTAAAGATTTCTTTCCAAGAATTTTGAAAGTGTGTCATAAATGCTTGCATGTTGTTACTAGTCTCATATGCTTTATCACACACACAAGTCATCATAACAAGCTAAGTGAAGATGATGAACATACTTGTTAAGCTTGTTTGCTTGGAATACACAAGTAAATAAATCTGGTGGTGGGTTTGGAACTTCCTCCTTAAATATGTTGGGTAGACGAAACTTTTCAAGCATACGTTCCGACCAGTTGATCTTCCTTGTTGTGCGCACCTAGAAGAAGAATAATGTAAATCAAAGCTGTTGTACTATAAACTAGGCAAGATAAGTGAAGAGATACAAGATCCAAATACTCTTACACATCTCTGTCTAAGGATGGAACTCAAAGATAATTATCATGTAGAGAGCTCTTACCTCAAGAGGAGCTCTAAAACTCAGCTCCTCTGCATARAACAGGAGAACTTCCCAAGGGACATGGATTTTGATGAAGTGGAGTTTGACCTTCTTGTCTTGAGTGATTTCCTGTTAGAAAATATATTTTCTAACTTAGATGGATGAATTACACCTTTATTTAAACAGGGTAGCCCTTACAGTTTCAAATGTCACTGACATCAACAGGAGTCCTGATAAAAGGTAGACGTCTTATTAAAATACCTCTTCAAATTCAAGTTGTGATTTTTCCAAGTTTTCTAGGAATTTCCTCCTTTTTTCTAAGTCCTGTGGAGCTGGGTCTTTTCCATCATCCTCATAAACCAGTACGTAATCTAGAAAACACAAAACATTCTCACAGTTACATTAAATGATTTCCTGCACTAATCTTTGCTATTGAACTGAACATGATTGTCTATGCATTATTTGCTGGTCATTTATTACAATGGAGACACCTAGTAGTATAAGACAGAGTATGGTAATGTTAAAAGGCTTATAAACTTACATACCAATTTGCCTTTTTCCATCGCGAAAGTAACATCCTCTTTCTCCACTCATATCCTCATCATCAATGGCCTGAATTGAACAAGACAATAATTATGGTTGGAGCTAAATCCCACCTTATCTGTTTGTAAAGCACCCTAAATATCTAGTATGTATCTTATATAATGTAAATGAGCTGACCGTTGTTTAAGGAGCTATAAGTTAATGAGAGTTCATTCATAACAAAGTCTGATATGGTTTGGTTTCTTTGTTAGGCTTAAAATAAACAGCTGTGAACTTCTTTTATTACTGATCGATATGCATCATATAGTACAGTGATCAATGAAGATACTAACAGATCCACCATAATAATCAGGATCATCATCATATGCTTGATTGTAACCATCCTAACAAGACAAAGATCAAGAATAAGATAGAGTAGCTCTCCAGAAAGAACAATCAGCATTAATGCAAAATGAGTTGTCACACAAAAGCAGTGCTATTTAGCTATAAGCAAGTCTCTAGCATCATGCAGTTTAATATTTGGTATTGCAGAAAAGCTTTTTTAGGTTTTTGTTCATGCAGGTAATGAATGATGTGCAATGACCTATTAGGTGTTAATTGCATTACACTAGTATACAGGTTAGCTCAGTGCACAGAATCTTAGCAGTACAATCATACAGGCATTACACTATAGTATGCAGGTTAGCTCAGACCACAGAATCTTAGCAGTACAATCATACAGGCATTACACTAGTATGCAGGTTAGCTCAGACCACAGAATCTTAG